ATTACACTGTTTTGAATAATTAGCTCATTGGCATTCCTGTGCTAAAGAAAATGTCATCAGTAATTTATAGAAGCTGCACAAAGAATAATAGTTCAGAAAAGCACCGTATGAGATTAATTAATCTTACACCTCCAAGAAAGTCATCAAAAGGTCCCTGTAATGATATCCCCCAGAGTTACCACTGCAATGGGCAGAAGTCAAGCCAAGCTCTTCTCAAGCACTGAATGCTGCAGCACTGTAAGCCTGTTGGGAATACTGCTTTTGGGAGTTTGCTGGAATCCAAAACGAGGAGGAAACACAAATCCCAGCTCCTGCAGGAAAGGAACACACTGATTTTCCTTTCCAGAAGGCCTCTCCACACTCCCACCAGCATCCCCAGATGTCCTGGCCCTCACATCGTTCCCACGAGTCCATAATCTCTTCAATATTTCACATCTTTCCACCTTACTTTACCCTCAGGAAATAACCTCACACCCTGGTGCTATCGCTTCACTAAATCTGTTATCTTCTCTTACCCTGCTTTGCATATCCTTATCATTTCATTATTCTGCAGCATTTTGCAGCTAAGAAATGTTTGAATTAAGTAACATTCACAAAAGGGAGTTATGAAATGAAGGCATCTGATCAACATCAGATGTTCATCTTATCAATACAAATCACTGGCAGGAAGAAGCCTATGTGCTTATCTTGGAAATTCAGACCTCACAGGCTCCAAAATCCAGGATTCAAAATGCTCTCTCTGTTGTTTTAGCTGAGTGTGAAGGAGAGTCCTGTCAACAATCTGGGCAAGGGAGCAATTGAGTGAAGTCCTTAAAACTGTACATATTTTCCACGCACACAACTTCAGTTGCTGTAGAGAGTATTGACTGCCATCTCCAAATTACATTTCTTTTCAAAATATTTCAGTAATAGAGTAAAGCACGCCTGTGTGATGCAGAGCAGTCCGCAGTCACAGCTGAATGGGTTTTGGATTGAGCAATGCTGAAGCAGCACTCCTGTTCTGAGATGAGGATTCCAGGAAGCAGCTACTGGCTTACGTCCTTGGTCCAAAATGGAGAGGTTGCAATGACTTTTTTAGGAGAAGAATGATGACATCATAAATAAATAATGTTTATTTTTTATCCTGACAGTAGCCAAAGTGAAATACTTAGTGACAACAAGCTCTTAATTGAACCTTGTGCTGTGTGGTGATGGTATCTGGCTGTGCCCTAACACCAAATTGTCAGCCATCTCAGGTCTTTGCCAGTGCTCATGAAGATTTACGTTCTTTGCATCAGTTTAATTAACTCAAACCAAAAACCAAGACAGCCCTTCTGATCCAATTCCTCTGTTCTTCGTTTGTGGTGATAATAAAACAAACACTGAGGAAAGTTTTGCTTTTGTCTTTCATTATACCTTACAACAAAGATTTCAAGGCTCAGCCCAAACGGAAATCTCAGCAAAAAGAAAGAGGTTGCAGAGGGACACAGACAGATAGGATGAGAGGTAATGGCCTTAAGTTGTGCCAGGGGAGCATCAGGTCGGATATTAGGAACAATTTCTTCTTGGAAAGAGTGGTCAGGTGCTGGCATGGGCTGCCCAGGGAACAGGGGTGGGGGGTGACTGTGCTGGGGTGTTCCAGGAAGGTGGAGATGCAGCCCTGAGGGACATCAGCAGAGGAGGGCTGGGGTTGGGCTTTGGCATCTCAAAGATCTTTTCCAACCTGAGTGATTCTATGGTTCTACAACAGTAGCCCAGAATGTTCTGTGAAGATCATTTCCACAGCGTTGGGGTGGCAGAACCTCAGCCATTGTCAGGCAACACTAAGTGAAAGCAAGGTCTTGCTGAGCACACAGCTCCTGGGCACCGAGCAGCTGCCTCATCTTTGTCCACTGGGTCTGTGGCTTGAGAAACCGTAATCTGCTGAAAACAGTGGAAATTCCCACAGGAAATTTATTTTAAGGCTGAACTGTTTTATAAATAATTCACTGCAATTGACAAGAATCAGAATAAAAAACAGTGAAGTCATCTTAAACTTTTAGATAGAATTTAAAGAGAAAAAAATCCCACCTGATCTGACACAATCGATGCAAAAGTCACTCCCAATACAGAACAAATGCAGAACAAAAGAAGGAGGCAGATGAAAAGGAGCAGCTGTTGCCTGAGACCAGCGAACTGTGAAAGCAAGCATCTGAATGCTCACAGCTGTAATGGCTTTTGCTATGAAGCTCCCAGCACTGCCTACAACGCGCTGCAGGCTGACCTGAGCTACCAGCAAATCAGCTCAGAAATGGCTGGAAGTCAATCACCAGAACCAGGCGCAGAGCATCACAAGAGAAAGACACCGCAGCCACGCACCCACTTTGCTCTTCTGTTTGCCTCCTGAGTCACTTCTTGACTGTTCATCTTTTCCTTTTCCCTGAAACCATCAGACGAATCTAACCCAGGAAAACACACAGCCTTCACCTCCAGCATCCCGGGAGAGCCAACAGCATCTCTACCTTTTAATAACCTGTATCTCAACACTCTCAGTTTACTTCTAAAGTAACCATGAGATAGAAGACCAACGTACACCATGGCATCCCTGGGACATACTTAGAATCCCAGGCCTGTTTGTCTACCCCAGCTGTGTTTTGTTTGATGCAGAAGCACATTTATCAGAGCCCAGTTTCCACATCCACAGCCAGTAAAATCCTGTGGCAAAAACGAGTCGTTTCAACATAAAACTCAGCAGAAAAAAAAAAAAGTTAATTGAAGGTCACTCGTTTGGTTCTTCTTCTTCTTAAAAATAAAAATAAAATCATAATTGAAGTGCCTCCAGTGACGCTCAGCATGGGGTAAAACAAGGCAATTTTGTTACAGCTGATGGAATTAGCATGAGATAAGTAAAGGTTAAATGTCAGCATGGAGCGTGGAGGATTGCAGGAGGGGACAGGATAAGCATAGGGCTGTGGATGCTACAGCCTGCAGCTGGCTGGGGGATTTCACAGCTACCTTAGGATGCTCACTGTCTCTTACAACTAAAGGTGAAATTGTTAAGCTTTTTTTTATTTTTTAATGTTTGAAGAATTTATCTTCAGTGCCATCCACGTAAGAGAGCAGATGGATACAGTGACTCTGAATGCTGCCCTTCATACAAAGCGATCTGCCAATAATTCGGATTATAAGTTACAGCTAATGTGAAATACAAAGGAAGCAAAGAAGATATTGAAATATGAAATAAGAGAGTAATTTCTCAAGGTAAGATCCTAAACAAAACACAGTCAATGAAGCTGAGAAATCCAAGTAGGTTACTCTACAGATTACAGAGAGAAGAGTTCCCCAGTATGCAGATAAAAACGTCAGGAGCAAAGAAGAGTACAATAATATGACATTTCTAAATAAATACAAGTGAATCTAAGCTTTATTATCACATTTCCTTTCTGACAATAAAAATGAGTTGTGAAGAAAAAGAATAGCCTCATCATTCTGCCGGCTGCTTTTATCTCAAGGAATAGCTCCAAGATTGCATCCTTTGCATTCTGTACTTTCCAGCGCCGTCTGCATGAGCAGCTGCTCCCCCCATCACTGCCATTTACCACCACAGAGCTCAACACGGATGGAATGCAGCATCTCCAGCAAAGGCACCCCTGCACCGACTGCAGCTCCGAGATGGGCAATGGGATTTCAACATCACTGCTCCATTTCGCTAATAACGAGTAATTATCCACGTGTTCGTTAAGCAACATAAGACTGAAGCAGTGATCCCAGAAGCCCAATCAAATTGCACTTGCAGCAAAACTGACCTGCTAAATCTCAGCAAAGAGAAACCTCACGGGCTGCTCAGGAGCTCCTGTTAAGTCCCACACGAACATAAGAGTGAACAGCACCTCTATGACTGAGCTTCCGTAACTTTATAATGGGCATTTATCTATTATCAAGTTTCACTAAGAACAAAGAAAACCACAAATACAGATACTGCAACCTTACAGCGGTACTCAAGAAGGAAAAATGTTTTAAATTCAAAGTTGATGCTGCATCAGAGGGTCAACCATGGGCTGCTCCCACTCCAGACAGCCCAGCAGCACTTGGCCTGTGCAGGATAAGGCATGCAGGTAAGCTGCCAGCCCACAAGCTTACATTCAGTAACAGCAATTTGAAGGTGCGTGCATAAAAGCAGCACATAAACGTGCACAAAGAAATCTGTGCGTCACTGACGTGTATTTTACATGGCTCTACAAGGGAAGTTCTTACAGAAATTCCTGTAGGAAGAGCTGTGGAATCTGAGGGCAGCAGTGGGACCCCTCATTCCACACCATCCTCAAACCCTGCACTTTGCTTCCCACCTGGCTCTGTGTCTGTCTGCCACCTTCAACTTCCAGTTCATCAGAAAATAGCACACCGAATAGCAAGAAGTCTGTTGCTAAAACCATATTAGGTTTCTCTCCCCAGATCAGACTGATATCGAATTAAAAGAGCACCATAGAAAGATATTTTCCAAACTCTCTATCAGCAGTTGTTTCTCAGTGCCCAGACCTCAGAGCCCCACATGTCCCAGAGCACCATATGGGGCTGTGGATGCATTCCCAGCACTGCAGTGCAACCTCTGCCTTTGTGGAGCACCACCCAAGGCATCACAAAACCAACCCAGTGACCACCCCAGAGCAAAGGCAAACAACATCCCATTCCCCAGCTCCCCAGCACTGCAGGCACCACCAGGACCAGACACAGTCTGGGGGAATGGCCATAACTCACCCACTGGTGCCGTGCCTTGCTGTTACATCTGCAGACGTGACAGCCTGGCTAAACCCACTGAGGGCAGCAGGAATGTTTTGATTCCATCACCAGAACTGGCATCTAGTTCAGTGTCAGGCTTCACCTCCAGAAATAGTTTTCACAGCTCAGGCAGCTCATTTTCCTCCTGAGCTGTTGGCAGCCAGCCTCTGCTCCTAGAAGCAAGCGTTAGTGACAGATGATCTGAGGGCTGTTAAACTTGACAAGGATGTAGTTCAAGTCCCACAAAAGCCTCGTGCTAGGCCTACCTGGGAAGTGGCAGTTCCTCCTCTCTTTGCACCTGTGGAATTCAGCATAGGGCACCCCAGCATCACAGCGGGGACTGGGTCTCCTTCCTTCTGCCAATGCTGACACCAGTGGGACATCGCAGGGATGCCCAGACCTCTCCAATGATGGATTTGTCCTATAAATACAGACAGCCCTTCAGCCTTTGGTGCACAAAGCAACTCGGTTACAACAAGAGCCTGGATTATTCATCTCTCTCCTTCACAGGCCCCCAAATTGAGAAATGTTCTCTTTTTAAATTATTCATGACATTATTATTACTGTAAGTCAAAGCACCGTTTAATGAAATAGCATTTTCAAAGTATGTTTGCATTAAAACCAGAATGCCACGTAGTTAAGAAATCATCTCTCTGTTAGTCTACTGAATTACAAGAAAAACAGGTCCAAATCATGTTTGCAACTTGAGATATAAATCCTCAAATCAATACATCATTTAATTGTGTTCATTGCCTTCTTTGCTTCCACACGGGGTCAGGAAGGACCCTGAGAACATCCCAGTTGTGTTTTCCCAAGTCGCTTTCACTCGACACACACCTGGACTTGAATTTCAACCTTCAAGCCTTCTCCAGCTGCAGGGCAGCAGGGAGACATGAGCGAGCACACAGCCCAGGCAGGCACTGAGCGTCCCTCTGGGCCGTGCCTCATGCAGAAGCTCTTCCTCTCAGCTCATCTTCTGAAGCTGCCAATGAAACTATGATGAGAAAAGCATGCAAAGCTATCAGTGCTAATCCCAGCGGGTGAAACCCCACGCAGTACCTATGGGCCCCTTTACCTCCCTGGCTTTTTTGAACAGTGGAAGTATTTCTGAAGTACTGGTTGGTCTGAAGTTAGATATCGGGGTTCATGCTCTGTCTTGCACCCCATGGCTTTCGCCTCTCTGACTCCAGCACATGGAGCTGACTGCTCTGTTCTGACTTCACCCTGGGAAATATCTGTGGTTCGGTCAGAATCGAAGCCTAAAACTCAAAACTAATACATCTGAAAATAAACTGCTGTTACTTATTCTCCATGAGTATCTACGGAGAGACATTCAATTTTTAGGAGTATTTATTTAAAGTTCAAAAAAAAAAAAAAATAACCCCAGACCTGAAATTAATTTTATCTCATAGGTTGGAAATGCAGTTCAGAGCTTGAGTGAAGAAATTAAAGGAAGGCTGTGCCTCATCCAGCCATCCGTCTCCCAAAAGGCACACGGACGGAAACGGACCCTCAGTACCGCTCCCAGTTGGCTGCAGCATTAAGCCTGACTGCTCTGTACTGCCTTCTAATGACATTTGTTAGGGTCTGGTATGGTTACATTCATCCCTGGGAACCAACTGATGACCTTCAGGGGAAAATCTGCCTTATATGCACTCGGCTCCTCCTCTTGAGTCTGGTTAGAGCAAGCACTGATTTGCCATTTCTCCTGCTTCCCACCGGTGCTTCAATCTGTCCCCTGCTTTTAGACAGGCATTTCTTTTTCAAAATACATAAATAGAAAGATTGCAGAAATTAAGTAAAGATACTAGAAGCCTCCAATTATATAGAAACAAATTGGCACCTGGAGGATCGTATGGCAAGATAAACCTTCCCACAAGTGTTTATTTTTTCTTTGTAAACAGAGACGCTGGAAGCAAAATTACCGCTTCCTGCAAACAGCAAAAGGATTTGTTTGGTAAGCTGAAAGCAAAACAGACAAATGTGCCGCAGTTATATTTGTATGAAAAAAGCTTCCATGTAGAACTTGAGTCCGTGCAAGTCTCCCAAAGGCATGTTGTGTTTCATCTGCACAGCTGGCATGCAGGACCTCCTGCTCAGATCCCCCCAGAGCCACCACCTTGACCAGAGCCGCAGGTCCATCCCAAGGCACAACAGTCACCTTCTGCACTTTCTTTTCTTCCTTCGTGGCCATAAAGAATCCATGTATTTGAAGAAGCATTTTTCCTCTGTTGTGCACCAGTGGTTATTTCACCACACTGAGAAAAGCACTACTTAGAGATCAATTTTACAGCTGGAATTGAAAAAAATATGAAGAATAACCACTCTATTCCAGACATGATGGCAGAGCGTGGATTTGAAGCAGTCTCAGACTGCGGAGATGTCACTGCCTGCACCTCCAGCTGCAGCCACTGGCCCCGTGACTTCCAGAGGTACAGGAACGGCACACAGAACCAGCTGGGTTTGTTGGAGGTGTGCTCCATCTCATTGTCTTCCATCCATAATCTTACTGTTGTTCCAGCACCCAAATTAGGATACATCAAGATGATAACAAGACTGTAACGCATTTAAAAAATAAAATCCAACGGTGCTGTAATACTTGTGTTGCTCCATTTCCCACTGCTAACTTTCTAAGACAAGGGTGTCAGTTCTTGCAGAGATGCAAAGAGCTGAGTACATAACCAAACACACAGTGCACTTACTCCAACAGACAACCCCTGGAAGGACTTTTTGCATCACGGTCACGATGCATGGGAAGAGCACAATGACATCCTCATCTGGGTCCTCTTGTGGCCAGCTGCCCCCAGAGTCTCCTTGTGCCCACTGCTGCTAAGGACTGCCAGGTTCTGATGACTTTGAGAATGAAGAATGAAACAAGCTGTCCAGAGCTGGAGGTTACACAGCCAACAAGAGAGAGGTGAGACAACACAGGTGGTCAGGAAGAGACCGAATGGGAAAAACACGTGATGAAATACACATGACAGGAGTGGCACCAACCCCCTCATCTCTGTGTTGGTACTGAGATGCTAAAAGCAAACAGTAAGAAAGCAAGATGTTCTGTCTCTGCTGCTGCTGAACACAGAGCCCATCTGGCAAAGCTCACAGATCTGCTGTCCAGCTATATTTTGAATGTTTTTACATTCCCCAAATTGGCTATGTCTTCTGATATAACTCAGTACATCATACTTCACAGAGGATAAGTAACTTCCTTTGCATATCTGTGAGCACAGAGCGCCATGAAGCTACCCAGAACCGGTACTCACAGCAAAAGAACTAAATAGAGGTCTGCCCTCTCTCTCTGTCTACTTGTTTTTCACCTAAACACCAAGCTGGCTGAAATACCCCTTTATGTCTACCAGTGCATCTCAGCCTTATTTTGAGCAAACAGAACATTTCAGCGCTGCTGACAGTACAGTGCTTTAATAGCCACTTACTGAGATCTGCAGGGGTGGCTGAAATCTGCCACCACATTAATCTCATCCTGTAATTAGCTACCTGGGGAAGACATGTATTATTCAGAGGACCTAGGTTAAAGAAAAAATAACCCCAAGGGTGCAAAACTCCTGACATTCCTCCCTTCCGAACAGCAAGAAGGGATGCACATCCCTCACTGCACTGACACAACATGGGACAGTTTTGCTCTGTGTGCTGCAAAGCGCAGTCCTGACAGATGAACTGAAACATCACTGCAGAAATCAAAACGGCTTCTGATACGAGCACAAACCCCTGCACCTAAAGATCTCCAGCAGCACGTTATAAAGAGGCTGCAAGGTATCATACAATATTTATGAGCACGAGATATCTACTATAGATTAATTCATAAATCCCCCATCCATAATTTATAGTCTATTTACAGAGCAGAACAGTCATTGCACAGCAACCACCACAAATGCATTCACTTAAACTTCAGGGCATTTGTAATGACTGCTCGGAAATAAGAAGGCCATAACAAAGCAGGCACAGTTGAGGACTGAAATGCACAGGAGTATAAAGAAAGAAAAGGCATTTTTAAGGCAACTGATGTGCTATAAATTTTTAATGCTCTATAAAATCTTTCATTTACTTAGAAATATTTATATAACATTAAGTGCATTACTCCAACTCAAAGGAAGAATTAGTCTTAACACGTTTCATGGAGCACTTGGATTTTCTATCCTGGATTTTACCTCCATACTTAACCCAGCACAAATTATTGTCTAAGATTATTCGTATCAAAGCAGCACACCTTCACTTTCTCAAAAATCATCCCTGAACACAACTGCTGTCTCCAGGGGATCATCCCAAGCATCCGTCCATTAGGCTTTTAGGGTAGTGTGCAATAAATTGGATGATTAAAACCTGAACAGCTCAGTAATTCCTGCACGTGCAATGCACACTCCTGTACATGGAAGTGCCTGAAGGCCTTGCTCAGTACAGGGTTCCTTCTCCTCCACCAGCTGGCTGGAGGAAGACACTTGGCCACAGGGCTCTCATACCAGACAGCAGGTTCCCATCAGAAAACTGACATGCTAGAAAGCTGTGGTGTCCCTGCAGCTCACGAGGCCTGGGTTACACAAGGAGTTTGGGTTTCTGGTTCAGTTGCTGTGATAACTGACAGGTGCAGCTCAACACAGGGCCACAGCTCTCGTTACTCAGCTAATTGAGCTTCCTGGGACAATGTACATCATTCTCTTTTTAACGATGGATTTTGTTCATTAAATGTCTTCACAATGATCCTTTACATACACGCAAAGGTTTTAAGTTGCTGTTAATTTTAACAAGCTCTCAAAACAAGAAAGAAAGGTCTGGGGATTTTTTTGTTTTTGTACAAGTCCACATTCACCTCCCAGCCAGAGCCGTACCAATGAGTGTCAGAGATGGGACACAGCTGTCCAGGAGTGCAATCTGCCCTGCACACAAGGCTGCACAGGGAAAGAAACAGCAGCGAAGTATATTACTGACAGTGGAATATGTCACATCTCCAGCACAGCTCCCCAGCAATCTGTCACCAAGCCATCAGTGCAGCGACAGCCGCCTGGTTCTGCTGGTGGCTCTGCCACTCAGGGATGAGCTCGGTTGTTCACATTGTTTTGGTAAGGAGCTACAGCTAATTAGTTATCTAAACCTTACTTATCTGAGGTTCAATCATCTCACCATCGTCTCTGCCACGTCTATCAGAACTGCTTGTGTTTGCAGCACTAGATCTGGGAGGTAAATCCTCCAGCGTGGTGTTTTTCACTCTTCTAGTCACGTTTAATTGGCTGCCACAGACAAAGCTTATTTATGTATTTCAGCTTCTTTAGTCTCTGGTCACTGCTCTAGTTTTCGTTAACACAATCCATCACATGAAGCAGTGGGTTATTTAGGCAGATCAGTGAGACTTACCACCAGAACCACGCTCACAGTCACAAATGAAGTCACTGTGTTTTAGAAATCGGTTGAGCATGAACTTGGAAACTTACATGGAACGTGTTCCCTTGGTCTGTTTCACATAGCTGTGTAGATGGGAGCCCAAAAGAGTCCATCTGGCACTGCTTAACATATCAGAAGGACAAGCCTCCACCTACAAAATCTGCTGTTATGTGTGACACGCATTCATCTTTTAAAAGAAAGAGAAATCCTTAAATGAAGCAGGAAAACAAAACAGATTAGGAATGCCGTTCTGTTGACAATACCTCGACCAATTGATGTCAGTTATGATTATTCCCATGCCCCCATGAAACCAGCCCTCTCTCACACAGGTAAAGGGGGACATTGATGGCAGGGACACCTCAGCACTGACACAGCTCAGGTTTCTGGACAAAGAGCCAACTGCCTGACCGCACATCCAGTGGAAGTCTGTGACGTTCAATGCTGCTTCAAAACACAACCCTCACAGCCATCAAAGAGCAACAAGAGAAAAGTCATTTTTCATTATACTTTCAAGATGCTGCTGAGACAAAGCTATTAAACCGAGTGCCTGATACATGCAAAAGGTTGAACCATTCCACACACACTCCTTGCGCTGCCTCTGCAATGAACAAAGGTCACTGATGACAACAGGAGGCAGAAATTGGGCTATTTTCTTTGGAGAGGTTGGAGTACATCTGCCAACTTACTTCAAGCCGTGTTCATTACCTAACAGGAATATTCTGGCCCTTGATAAATGATTTTTCAAGCCAAGACAGAACAGCTATCTCTAAACCCACCTTCTTGTTGCTCCAATGGGCTGACTTATTAAGAAATCCACTTGAGCTCTCACTTCCCAACTCACTGCTGGTGACTTTGGAGAAAAAAATTTCCCACCCACCACAGAGGCTTTCCCCTGGATACTGGCAGAGCTTAATGCTAATCTGCAGAACATGAGTTAAGAGTAAGTCAGTGTGTCAAGTGTAAATATTCCGTGTCCAGACGTGCTTCAAGTTCAAGGCACAGGGGAACTTCTCCAGAAGCACTATGCTCCCCAAGCCTCACGGACAAAAGTACACACAAGACCTTGGATCAAAGGAGGATAATCAGAAGCCAGACTGGTATTCACGAAAGGAGAAGCAAAGCATTTGACACATGCATGCAATTGAACTGCACGTGGGCCTACTGTGGGTGCAGTGGGCTGTATGCCACTTACCCTGGGAACTGGTAGCATCCACTTTCCAAAGCTGCTGGCACCAACCAGCGACTGCTGCCACCAATCCATGCATCTTAGTAATCACCTGCATACTCGTGAAAACTGCACTGTAGTGTTCATCTTCAAGAAGAACTGACTGAGGGAAATTAGTAATAAAATGCAAGAATGTTCAATTGGCATATTGTTAGCAGAAGGACATAAATTGCCAACTATAATACACCAGGTAAATAAGCATTGCTAGCTTGCTGAGGACTGAAGCGTTATCATGCATTTCACATGGAGTTTTTAATTATTCAGAAAGCAAATGAATTATTTTCAAGCTTGCATTTCCTTGTTTCATGTTGTCCTTGTGGCTTTTAAGTATGTTTCCAAAATCTTTTTAAATCCAAGCACTCAGAATTCAGCTTTTCTGTTCTTCTATGACAGCATGGAGCTGGGAACAGAAATCGTTGTCTCACTTTTAAGATCTGCAAGACTCAAATCATACTTGTAAAATCTAAAAATGTCAAGCCTTCAGCAACACAACCAATACCTTTCCATAGGAAGAGCCTGTTGCTGTCAATGTCAATCGTATCAACGGATTTAAATACAGTATATTTAGCATTAGCACTTTTTAGCTCCTCATCTCAAGCAAGAGGTTAACCAAATTTAGATCTCAACAACCACTGTGTGGTTGGATCAATTTAATCACTTTTAATTTTTTCAAATCTATCAAGACTTTGAGTGAGAAAGACCAATCAGAATGGGCAGCTCTGCTTCTGAGACAGATAATCCCCACACTCTTCCCTGACCCATAATTTGCAAACTTATAGATACCCATCCCTAGTTGCTTCTTCCAGTTCCATTTATAAAAACTATTTTTTAGCTGGAGTAAATTTTAAAATGCAAGTAAAATCAAAAATGCAATCTCCAATGTTACCAAATCTAATGAGTTGTTTAATTACCCTTGAAACAAGACCTTGTGAAGATCCAACAAACTTTAAAGTGCTGCGTCACCAAATCAACAACCACAGAGATTGCTTGCAACACCCAGGTACAACAATCTGATCGTGGGACACCAGAGCAAGGTGAGGACTTGGCCATTAACTGGCAGACAGTAAAGAAACTTCAGCTTTTCTGCTCTCACGCTTTTCATCAGGGAAGGAGCCTTGCTAAGAGGGGAGTTTCCCAAAACACAGCGTTCAGTGTATTCAGCTCATCTGCTGGATGGCACAGAACACAACAACTGCCATTAAGGCACTGACTCCTGTGACACAAACGTGCATTTCAAGAGAAAATACTTCCAACAGAGCTATGAAAATCCATCAAACAGTAACTACTTCCCTTGTGATCATTCTACCTTTGCTTAAATGGCCTAAACTAAGTCTATATAGAAATACCAGTGATGAGTTCAAGAGCCCATTTACTGAAAGAGAAAGAAAGCTAATCAGAGCACTAAACAAAACATTTGCACCTCTCACCAGGTTTTAATTCCACACAAGTATTCCTCACAGACACTCAGATTAGCCTCCCCAGCCATCTCTAGCACAATGGAGATGCTGACAGGCCCTTGATGATAGTGGCAAAAAAGCACAATAATTACTTTTCACCTTCGTTAAGATAATCTTCCCGTATTTGTGAAGCTCTTAACTCAGTGTAAAATGACAGCCTTGCAGCATTCTCAATTACAGCACATCCGAGCATCTGCCCATCGTTCCATCAGGCATGTGCACTCTCCCTTGTTTCACAGCACCACTGAATCCTCTGAGATGGAAGGAGGATGCCCTGCAGTAACAAAACATGGAGCAAAACCCATCCTGAGCACCAAACGGTGGCTCAAGAAACAGCACCTAACCCTAACTGTAAAACCCACGTGGTACCACACGAAACATCCTCCAAACGACCTCCAAACAGCAAACTCCATGGAGCCCAGCAGGAGCAGAATTTGTTCTGTTAAACTCTGATGCTGGAAAAGGACCACAGTTTTAGGAAGTCGGGACACCTCTCACTCACCTCTTCATGCTTTTGCAGATCTCATGCATCACACAGGGTGGTAAAACCTCACGTAACAGAGGGAGTTGCTCCGAATTCACGGATTGACTTCAAGAATTCTCTTTTCAAATCTTCATTAGGAATGAGAACTGCTTCTCTTACAGCTCCTCTTTCAGAGTTCATTTAACAAACAAAATCCCTCCCATGGACTTTTTCTCCCCAAGTTCACATAATGCTTTTCTGCATAGGGGAAGCTATGGAGGGAATTACTTTTCTCAGGACAAAACCAATCCCTAGAAATTTTTTATTAATTTGCAGCTTGATGCACAAAAAGGGAGCTTGAGAAATCACCAGAAGTGGTAAATAAATGATTCATGTGGGTTGGTTTTGCATGAATAAATTATTTGTTCCTTCTCTGTGCTTCATTTGAGAGAAGAATGCAAAATTAATGCTATCCTATGCAAATAGAAAACCTTTTATACAATTCTGACATAATTATAGGTGTTTGTAAAGAAACACATCCTTGGTTTTTGGAAGCAAAAAGTCTTGGTAGCATGTTAGTGTCACAGAATGAAAGACTCAAACAATAAAGGACGTCATCCGAGGATGTTCAGTATGGAGACTTACACAGTTTTAGTATTTCTCTCTTCTTAAACTGCTTTCTTCCTCCTGGGAGGTGATCGGTACCCAAAACACCACATCCCCACAGCCAGTGCTTTGTCACAGCCTGCAGTGCAAAGGAGACTGCTGCCTATTGTGGGAAGACACGTGTCCCAGAAGGTTCTCATTAATGCCAATAAAACTGATGGCATTTAAACAGTCCTGTAGCCAAGGAAACAGAGGAGCACCTGACAAGTGCCGTGCCAGCTTCCTGCTCCGGAGGCAGCTGGATGAAGCAGCACAGCCCAATCACAGCACAGGTGAAGGCAGAATTACCCTCAGGACATCAGGCCTCCATCACAAGGGTCCCTGCCGACTTACCAGGAGCACATCTCTCAGTCATCTTCGGGATCCCAGCTGAGCTCACAGCACAGCAGCTGTTTTCTAGCACCCGCTGCCCACGTGAATGGATGCTCCCATCCAGCAGCTTTCATAGCTGATTTAAATGGGATTTTATACCACAGGCAACAAAAAGGAGAATTAATTTAGATTTCTCAGCTTTTCAACCAACTGCTCACCACTAAGAAATCCTGTTAACAGGATTTCATCAGAATAGCTGTCCAAAATTTTGGAGAAAAAAAAACATCCTTCGCAAGTTTCAAGAACTTACATGTTCTTGAAGAAGGTTCTTGAAGAACAAGTAAGAATGAAGAAATTATCAAGCTGGAAATTACTCATTTGTGAATATGAAGGTACAGAACAGTTCAAACCTGAAGATTGCACTGAATCTGCAATGCTGGCAAAGTAAAAATAAATGTTACACCATAAAGCTAACGAGAATTACAGAATTTGTGCTGTCAACTACAATATTCTCTACAGCAGTCCTCAGACATACTGAAGTAAAACACAAAGCCCTTCAAGAACATTACTTAATGCCTTCTTTTAGATAATTCAGAATGAATCAAATTAGCATCTCCCACTTGATCAGTAAAGAGTGTTTCAGGTTTGCTCACACAGCACTTTGGTGTGTTAGCAAGTATTTTCCCCAGGACAGTTCTGCTGTCACCCTGTCCCTAAGAATAGCCATCTCTGTTCACGATGGACACCACTGGGAGGATTCAATGCATGCATGCATCCACCTGAGGGCTTGAGCAGTGCTCTGCAGCAGAGCTCAGGGCTGCCCCCAGCCCACTGCTCAGACACAGCCTCTCCTGCAGCACAGCCCTCGCTCACTGCCCTGCTGCATGGCATCACATACCAGCCAGCACCCTCACATGACCAAGTGGCTTTGTCTATTCTAATTACTACACATGGCCAAGGACCTAACAGTTATCAATCTTCTTCTCAATTGCAAATTCAGACAGCTGTATCTCATGGTATGCAGATCGCTGCATAGCAACCCCAACATTGTTCCCAGCAGCAATTCCTCTGGGACAATGGTCTCTATATATCTACAATGAAAGATGGAATTCCATCTTCAACATCTGATGCCCATTTAATTCAGTTGATAGGAACTAGTTATTTGGCAGGTCTGTTCATATGGCAATGGGATACGTCTCAAGCTCCAGCCATCCATTGCCCACTCTTGTCTCTGGGGCTTCCTCAGCACTAGGAAACACCCACAGGAGCAGGCAGCTAAGTTCCAGCTGCCTTGTGGGTCTCCTCCAACTTGGAATATTCTATGTAGACCACAGAACCACAGAGGTTTGAAAAGACCTCCAAGATCTCCAAGCCCAGCCCACCCCTACCATACCCACTGCCCACATCCCTCAGGCCACGTCTCCATGTTTCTTGAACACCTTCAGGGACGGTGCCCCCACCACCCCCTGAGCAGCCCATGCCAGCACCTGACAGCTCTTTGGAGAAGATGCTGTTCCTCATATCCCACCTGGAATCTGCCTTGGTGCAAAGTGTGGCCAACCCCTCTCATCCTATTGCTGTTACCCAGGAGCAGAGGCTGATCTCCCTCTTGCCACAACCTCTGCTCAGGCAGCTATAGAGAGAGATAAGGCCTCCCCTGAACTCCTCTTCTCCAGACTGAAGCACTCCAGCCCCCTCAGCTGCTCCCCATTAGACCAGTGCTCCAGACCCTGCACAGCTCCACTGTCCCCTACTCTGAGATGCTGCACACTGTGTGGTGACAAGCAAGCCAGAGGTAAAACAAGCAGAGCACACTGCTGTTGCACTCCTAGCTTCAATGCCCTTGCTAGGAATCAGAGGGAACTGCTCCAAACATTTTGTTTCTGTATACAATGTGGCTGCTAAAATTCAAAACAGACAATTTAGTGGGTGGATCTGTAATTAAATTATTATGGCTCGTATCTAATTAAAACAGATTTCAAGGCGCATTTCAAGCTGTGGCTGGATGTCAGTCTGAAGTTGTCTCGCACAGCTTGGCAGCAATCAGACTGAAGGAGGGCAGAGAGGCAGCATCCAAGACTGAGGAAAGGAGGATCTAAAAATAAAAACGTTCTGGAATGGCTGCCTCCCACTTTGAACCCAGCTCTTCACTACTGCCACGACACCATCCCACACCACAGATTTCTCCAGCAGGCATTGAGACTCCCAGGAAGGAATAATAAACAACTACAAGGGTACAAATCACGGCTGCGGCTCAGTTCTATACATAGTTCAGCAGAAGCAGATGAATAAGTCCTTCCAGTTTATCAGAAAACTGTTTCACGGAGGGGATATAATTACAAGTCAGACGATACAGAAACACGTAGTCTGGCAAGGCACACCACAGAAATGATGATCCTAAAGCGATAAAACCCCGTGACGCAGCACCCAGCATGGCTGTTGGCATCTTGCTGCCAGCCAGGAAGCCAGGACAGGGCAGGGTGTGATGTGCCAGCACAGGACAGATCCCCTCGGTCCTTTGAATGCAATCTTGAAGGTAACCACACACTTCTACTGCTCTGCACCATGTCTTGCAGCTCTAAATGGGAAACCAAAAAAAGAAAAGCTAACATAAAGTGAGAACTCCATGTTCCACAAAGATTTTGGGTCAACGACTGAATAGCAGCAGTTTTTTCATATTATCACAAAATATGCATTTGAACTTAAGAAGTATTCAAAAGTCAGATGTCGATAGAACTGCTGTTTGGACAGCTGGTTATGATGAGTTGGCCCTTACCAACACACTGCTCTGAGATGTTGATTACTTTGCTATTGACCCAAGCCTTTGAAATAACCAGGGAAAAATGCAGGGCCTGACTCAGCCAAGAAGCACTAATCCAAGCGAGCACTGAAACCAGCCCTGCTTCACAGGTCTCTAGGGGCATCCTGGTAACTTTGGTATCACATGCTCACATATGGTGCAGCACAGCGTTATCCCACACAAAACTCTCAAGGACAAAGCCAGGACCACTCCTCTGTTCCTTTACTCCCCAAAGCAAACATTCACTTTCCTTCACAAAACTCAAAAATGCTTTTATCACCCCTGTTGGGGCCTCTTTGGACATTTTCTTCATCTTGCACGTAGAAGTGGGAGATAACCATTTTACTCATCAATCGCTGTCTGCCTTATAAATCCTTACTATAGCTTGGCTGGGCCCAATATTTGCATCACATTACCTGTTCCCTCTGGGTTCTATTGAATCACTGTATATGTTTTATTGTCTGCTGGATCCCCTGCAGAACGTGCACATAGCTGAACACAGCAACTCTCACACAGAACAAGCACACATCCATGCACACAGCACTTGTTGGGTTGGGAGATGTCCCTGCCCTTCACCAAGCACCTCATCTCTTTTTCCTGCACTTCTCCACGTGCACCTCCACACCCCTGAACTGCCATTGCACACAACAGCCTTGTTCACTGCAGAATATCTACACACACATGCTATTTCAGACCTCGAACCAAGGGCTCTGACTGCTGCCGCTGCAAAGTAATTAAGCTGGTGAAGCCATCAATGACTTGAAGTGATCTTTCATTAACAAAGAGAACGCAATTATTTTTCTGCCATCTTCCCTTACTGCATTAGTCTGACACACAGGAGCTGATTTCTCAGACAGCTCTCTGCCCCTTGAACCTGGACACCCTCCTCCACACAGCTCTGCCCACTGCAGCAGGACATGAGCCTAACATGCCAAGCCTAGCATGCTGAGTGGTACAGATGAAATTACAAAGTAATTATTGATACTAATTAAGGAAAAACTGGCCAATGGCTTATTTCACAGCATCATTAAGGCTAAGGAATGACCGCTAAGTTCATCTGGACCAGCCACCAACCCACACGTGCAACCACTCCTGTGTCACTCAATGTGATCTCCACCTTCCTCTTCAACACCGCCTCCCTGAGACTCGCAGATTCGCTCTAATAAGCAGAGGCATAGGGAGAGAGATGGAAACACAAATTAACGTAGTTGTCATTAAAAAAGGAGAAGGTACCACTTCCCTCGGCCTCCTCGGAGCAGCCTGCAGTACCCAGCAGAGCACACAAAGCCGCCTCTCACAGAGGCTCAGTCCTGGCTGCTCACCCACCCGTTCCGAAGCTGTGTTTAAAACATTCTCGTGCTTTCCAATATTAAATGCTTACAAGTTCTGCTGCTGTTATTGGCATAGCTATTATCTTCCACTACGCAGCACGACACGCTTCATAATTTCATGAGCCTATCATTAGGGTATTAGGCAGCTTTTTTTTTTTTTTCTTCACTAGAAGATAATAGAATGGGACTGGCAGACCAGAACGTGACTGCCCCGTAAGACAGCTATGATCAAGATGTAACAGCTCAGACAGGGACACCACCTAGATGGGGCTCGTCTGTAACTGGGACAGCCAGAAACAAAGACCAAACTGAAACGAGCACGTGTGATTCCTGACATTTCTAAATGCCAAGCCTCAGCATCCTTGTACATTGTCAGTATTGAGTTTGCTGAAAGCCTTACAAGAGGTGTAACAGCAGCACAGAACAGAAATGTAAGTAATTAGATTAGACGGTGAAATCCATTTGAGATTAATTGGTAAGTAATCAACCTGACCAAGTTTATGATCCTTGAACTAAGAGCAATACAAAGGTACAATGTCAACAATTAAGTGGCAACAGCTCACGAGCAAACTCTTCTGCAGCACAAACAAAACCCTCTTTTGTTTCGCTGGAGGCAAAGGCAGCATTAGGCAGTTTGGAAAGTGACAAGTGCACTTTCTCTTGAATGGTTCTAAAACATTAAATCAACTAATGCCTTTGCACCTGGTGTAACCTTTGGTAATTGTTGGGAGAAAAAAAAAGTGATGCTTTTCTACTGGAGTGTAGCATGTATTGTAACTTACATTGGGACGCTGGAGTAGCAGGAGGAATGTTGTGCAGGAAAAAGTGTGTTTACTTTCAAATGCATAAAAACTATATTAAAACTAACAGATGGGAAAAGAACAACTTACAGAAAAATGATAACAAAGCATCTCCCCTACATTCCTTCTTCTTTTTAAATAAAGGACTTAATTTATACGAATTAGAAACTGATCCATTCTAATACAAACAGGAAGGAAAGCTTAACTCAGCTCTTGAGTCAAACTTGCAATTTCCAATATAGAAATTAAATTCTCCCCAACTTAGACACACTGATTTAGGAAATCTCCTACTCTCATTTTCATTTTCCTAGGCTTTGTTTCAATTAAATGCCAACAAACATTAGGCACAGCAGCACTTGAATAATGATTAACCCCTGTTATACCACGGCTGCGTAAGGCAATCTGTTCATCCACGTTCAAGAACAGAAGAAAAGATGCTGCAGTCCTTGAGTTCAATGGAGTTATGCTGCCTTAGGGTTACTCAGGATCTGTGTCCTAGCATCAGACTTGCAATTTCTTGTAATTACTGATTTGGGGACAAAGAATCTCAAATCTGAAAGAAGCCATTAGAAATTACACAGTGGATGTCTTCCATCTGTGCTTTAAGAGCCCCACCTGCACTTCCCTTACCCAATGCTGAGCAAGAAACCCCTCTGAGCTCTTCTGAGAACTAAGCCAGGCCCTGGAGAGGGTCTGTTCAAGCATTTCCAGGGCAGACTTACACACCTGCCCCGTCATTGCTCTGACAGATGCAGGAATTGCATACTTACTCCTCCCCAATGCTCCAGTTTCCCTCTCCAACTCCCAAGCTGTCTGAACAAAACACTTACTCACCAAGCTGATAAGCAATTCTTTAAGATCACTGTGGCATTCAATCGTTTGTGGATCCCCATTTTTCCAGATGCTCCCCAGCCCATTTCTCCTCTGTGCCATGATGTCTCACCAGGAGCTGCACTTCTTTTAAACCATTTTATTCCTTCATTGCCATCTCATTTGACATCTCCCTGATGTGAGCAAAAGCACAGCTGGTGTGTCTATGGTTTTTGCTCATCTTTCCCTAAATAAGAGATACATGGAGAAATTAATGAGGAAAAAAAACTTGTTTTCTTTACTAGTACTCAGGTCTTCAGCACCCTCCCACTCTGAAAACCCTCAACCTTCACAGCACAGTGGGTGAATAACTTGGAGAACGATTTCTTCTCATTTCTGTCTTCCCTCAGTGGTTAGAGGAAAACAGACAGAGACACTCCTATGTCTTGTTGTGGGAGAGCATGAGAAGGAACAAAAATTCAAAATGCTTAACACAGGGAAAACCAGAGGCCACAAGGGCAAGAAATCTCAGAGAGGAATGAGGAAAACACACCTTATGGCAGCCATGTTCCCAGCACACATCTAGTAAAGCAATGCAGTCGATGGCGTAGAGCTTGATGGGAGCAGAGTCAACAGCAAGAAGAGCAGAGTTACATTTGCATTCGAGGAGATTAAAACAAACACGCATCCGTGCACGTAATGGTTTGCACGGTGCATGCTGAGGCACTTTGGTGTACATATTCATAAGGAAGATCTGCTGTGAAACTACCAGCACGTCTTCATAGCACAGAAATTCCTACTGAATTCTGAACAAGATAACTTAGAATTCTGCTAACCTCGTGCTGATGCCTGACGTACCAGCAAGTCACAGAAAAAAAGGTTTTAATTGCGGCGCCTGGTGCAGTTTTATGACTGAGGGAAACAAATTCCCATCGACTCTGACTGACGCCTCTGCAAACTGCATTAGCTTTGTTTGCAATCATCACATCAAAATAGACTTGGATGTTCCCATTCAGATCAGCCCCATAATTAAACGCCCAGAAAACATCTCCTTCCTACAGCACCATTTTGAAGCCGTCTCTTCATTTTGCATTAGGAATTCCTTCTCATTTTGAAACATTCAGTATTTGTCTCCCAGAAAAACAGTGCTTTCTCCATCTTCTTTACAGTAGCCCAGGAATGGCAAAACAACACCTCTCCTGAAATCCTGTACTGCCTTGCAGTACTTCAAAACAAAGGCTGTGTTCTCCATACACAGCACAGTTTTGGAGCTGCCGTTACTTGCAGAAAGCCATTTCCAGCCCCAGCAACCAACTCCACTTACTCTCTTCCATGCTGAAATTTGAGCAGCAGGCAGTGGGAAAGATGCAGGAAGGTCAGCGGTGTGATTGCGTGCAGACGTCATGATTTCACAGGTTGTCAATTCATCACCAGAACTCCCCATGGAGGCACTCGGGGCCAAAGGAGCAGAGCTGCCCTCCTCCACAGCCTGCTCTCTCACATCCCAGAGTCACACACAGACACTGAGAGCAAACTGGTTTATTCTCTACTTTCAGCAGATGCAGTTATGCTCAAAGACGCTGCCCTACCAGAGAAAACAACAGGTTCAGAAGTAACAGAGGCGGGCTTGTGTCAGCCTGTGCTGGCTGATCCCAGCAAAGGAGGGAGGGCAGCACCAGTTTTGCCTTTTTGTAATTTTTTTTCTTTTTTTTTTATAGCTAATAGTGAAAGAGAAAGATGCATCTGTCAGAGTCACAACAGAGCACTTGGCCTGTAACCCGCATTTCTAACTTGGGAGCGAGCACACCCACAATGGGAGCTGCTCAGAAGTTTCACTCCACCATTTAGAACCTTCTGGTGCTCAAGAAATACTGAGCTGAAAATGACTGCCGTGACTCAGAAGCAACAACCTGAGATCACCCTGGTTGGTCGCCTGCCTGCACTCCACTGCCTACCGACAGTAACGAGAACACAGGGAGGACATTTCTCTGCTCCAGCCAGAAGACAAGGGCTGACCTGCCTGTTTGCCTTCACAGTGACTGGGGCTAGCCTAGCTAGCTCACACCATTATTGGCTCACACTAAGGAGACTTAAATTGTCACGTAGTTACAAAAAGAATAAAAGCAAGAAGAGATTGAGGAAAAATGGGGACCTTCTGCAGCATCAATTGGATTCACAAGGCCACAGCCTGCAGCAGCACATGGCCACATATGTGGGAGGTCCCTTAACCACAGGTGGGATCCCAGTGATCAGATTCCATCTGAGGGACCAATAGAGCAGGTTATGCAATTAATCACCTGCATTTGAAAATTCGGCTTTTTAAGTAACACAACAATCCTTTAGTTTAGCACTAGCAGACAAGTAATTATGGCCTAGCCAGTACTATTGCAGGTGCAGGACTTGATAGAGTCACAGAACAGCCTGGGTTGAAAAGGACAGCAATGATCATCAAGTTTCCACCTCCTGCTGTGTGCAGGTTGCCAACCAGCAGACCAGGCTGCCCAGAGCCACATCCAGCCCGGCCCTGAATACCTCCAGGGCATCCACAGCCTCCTTGGGCAGCCTGTTCCAGTGACTTGCAGAAAAATATGCTGAGTTTATCAATCCAGCAGCACTCAAACCTCAGAAGCTGCGCACAGAAGTATAAAATGACTGTTACGTGGAATTACCACTGCTATTAACTGAATCCACATACAACAACTTATTATCTCTGATTGGAATCGGAGCAGATGAGGTTATCAGTCTCCTTTTTGCAATGGCAGTGCTTTGAGCCAACTGGTAGTGGCCCAAATGGAAAAAGAACATAATTGCAATCAAACAGAGCAAAACCCCAAAATGGTGCAACACAGAGCCTCTCCTGTTGTGTGGCATTCTGGAACATGAGAGATACTTCTGGCACAGGTTGGCACCAAGATGAGCCATTTCTCTCAGCTCTTCTTTGCTTGCTGTGAAAAATAATGATCTGTTGATCTTGGTTTGTCATTCAAACTGTGTACCCACTAAGTCAGCATCTGTCTCCTTAGCAGATCTTTTTTGATGTTTGCCAACTGTCAGAACAGAAGAGAAACAATAACTCCAAAAAAAACCCCAAAAAACAACAAACCCTCCCAGAAATGCTTTCAAAATGACATTTGCCAAAAAGCCCTGACAATAACACGCTCATTTCAGCACTCATCCACAACGATACCATGGCCACGTTCATGTCCACATAAAAAAAAAATCAGAACTGTATACTGACTTCTCAGAGCAGGTAGCAGCAGTCAGTAATGAAACGGGTGCAGGGTGAGGGCTGTGTGCTGCAGCTCAGCAGATGAAATTGGTTCATAGAAAAAAAAATGAACAGAACCATTGGTGCTTTCAGAATGCAAAGGCCTTTTTACATTGTGGAAAGCAGAGTCTAAGGTGTCTACGAAAGAATGTCCTTCACAAACCAAGGGACAGCCTGCACACTTTGAGAGCTAAGGCTGATTCCCACAATTACACTCCATTTTCCCATCCAAACTCATCCCTTGCTTAATTAATGCATCCCATTAAGCACTGAAAGCAAAGAGATTGTTGCTGTTAATCGGTCAGCATCAGAAATCTCTCCAAGCAGGCTTTTGATTTTACACTGAACTCTTTCAGTGCCTTCTCTCCAAAGTTTGCAATCCCAAATGAAAGGCTCCCAGCTGAGGATCACAGTGCCTGTCTGTGCCAAAGGAAACCGGCAGCAGTTGGCCAAAGCTGTACGAGAAAGCAGAAACAGGCTCCAGTGCCACACAGACAGCATGGGACACGACAGCAGACTTCGAGCTCCAGCTGACGCGTGCTTTTGGATGGAGACGGAAAAGTTTGGGGAGCAATTGATTTGGGAGAAGTTGCTAAAAGCTGTGAGATGAGCCCACAAGTGATGTCAGCGTGGGCTTTCTCGTGCTTTTCTGCCCTGCATCTGGCCTATCCGCAGTGGCACGTCAATGCACGTTAACAGGTTCTGCGCGGTGCAGCTGGAGAGGGGAAGGAGCCAGGAAATCTGTCCTCTCCTGGGCAGGCCCTGGCTCTCCAACAAAGCAGAGCAGGGGCTGGCGAGGCTGTGAATTGGCCCTCTGTGCCCAGCTGCCCTCACACACACACTCACACATTCACTCGGCTGCCAGCTACTGCGGCGGCACCAGAGAAAAGTGAAGGGAAGCTTTTATGCTCTTTGCAGTTCAGCCGGTGCCCTGAAAGAGGCAGACAGATCCCCAAACATGGCTTCTGTGCGCAGGGCAGAGATGAATAGCTCAGGAAGCACTTCCACAGCCCAGGCCTGAAAACCACAGCCTCTGCCAGCACTGCCAGCAACAATCTCCAGCCCGAAACATCTCACCCTGGAGCAGAAATCCCAGTTTGCTGACAGCCTTGGTTAGCTACGCAGGATCATTTAAATCACCCTAAAGACACTGACCGCTTATTTAGCGTGAACTCTCAGTTCTGGTGAGAAAATGAAGGTACTCGATTTGGGAGCAGGTTTATCCTCAGCTCCCCATCCACAGGCTGGACAGCTTCCCCACCATCCATACCCTCCAGCCACCACTGTGTCCCAGCAGGAGCAGAGGAGCACACAGAACCCGCTTATTGATCAGAGACCTTTGGCTGCTTATGGAGGTGCAGAGGGCAGAATGGCACATGGTGCCCTGCAGCTCTTGCTCCACGGAAAGCCTAGGGTAGAACATCCCTCAAATGCATGGAAGCAGTCCTCTGTGCCTTGTAACCTGGTCCTGGAGAGAGGTGCTTCCATGCTAGGCAGGAAGGTTATGGTTACAAAGGCGAAGGAGTGGGAAGAAAAAAATGAATGCAGTTTTAAGAAAACAGAGGAATTTGCCAGCACTGACTTTCCCTCATACTTTGCCACTACAATAAATAAGGTTTTGTTAGACAGAAACAACACCCTTGCAAGTTCTTTGCTTCTGGATGACCCACAGTCAGACATACAAGCACTCGTGTAAGTGCTATTTACAAGCACTGCCACGCTTGTCAAAAGATGAATTTGCATGCTCCAGACACATAATACCGGTAACAAAAAGATTATACATCCCTGTCAAAAGAGAAGAATGAGTAACTACTGACTCCAGTGGCCGCTGATCCCAGAGAACATAACTAACTTGAGCAGAATCTGCATACATGGGCACTGAAGAAGATGAACGTACACATGGCCAGCACAAGATCCTTACCTACCCTGGCTGACTTCTGTGTGTCACACTGTGACACATGGGCACCAATTGTGTTTTCCAGAACAGGATTTAAATTCACGCCTTATCACCACTCGTGGTCCTAAGGAATGAAGCAATAGCTGCTGACAACGCTAAGACACCCATCGCTACCAGTCAGTAAGCCTTACTTTTCCAACCTTCTTGGAGATTCCACTGGTAACTGCTGCCCTGAGCTTGCTGATGGCTTTCTTTCCCTTTGGCTGCTCTGAGTATTTCTTTTTGGAGCAAGTTTTCATCTGCTTGGAGTGTTATTATTTACAGCAATCAATATTGCCACAGAAAGCAAATGGTTACCTCACATGTACTCACTGACAAGAAAACTGAAGCAAATTCAACATTTTGGGTGACACAGACTTTTTGAATGCCTTACTCCAAATGTAAGCTGAATGATGTAATTGCTCAGCAATGAAGTATTTATGTGACCAGCTGAGAAGGCATCTCCCCTTATTTCTGACTCACGCTGACCGGAGGCTGTACATAACATTGGCGTGAAGGAGAAAGCATGTCCAGCATGCAGCACTCTTAGTATGGTTAGGGACAAGGATTCTGGAGGCCAGAAAGTCCTGCATACAATTCCTGCCTTCTCCTCTGACCGTAAAAGCACTCCATCCGCTTTCATCTTCTAATGACTGGTCCAACTTCTGTTCCATGACATCACAACTCATTGCTCAGACCATAATTCTGTCACACAGCATGGATTTATCACTACAGTGTCAAATAATGGCACGTGTATTTATGTAGTAGCTACTGACATTTCAGAAATGCTTCTTTTCTTACATAAAAATTATTTATTAATCATTTTACCTCTGGCTGATCAGCCTCCTCCCTGCCAGCACATGCCTTCTTGAAACCTCTCTTCAATGCTACACTGGAAATCACACCCCACACTGCTGGCATCCCCAGGACTTTGCTGGTAATATATCTGGTTAACTCACGTGGTGAAGTAAGAACTCCTGAGAAGTGTTTGCCGTGATGATATTGCAGTGACAATCTTTAAGCTCACCTGGAAAAACAACACATGCATGTTTACTACATTATGAATTCAATTCATTACTGCATATCAATGCTTCTCTTTCACTAACAAATGA